ATAAGGAGCGGGGCCCTAGAGTGGATCCTTGTGGTATGCCGCATGTTACATTTCTTAAACTAGATTCTGTATTGTCTATTTTGACATATTGTTTTCGATCGTTTAGATAATTAGCAAACCATGCATGAGGTAATCCTCGAATTCCATATTTATACATTTTTGCTAAGAGTATTTGATGATTTATTGTGTCGAATGCTTTAGAGAAATCTAGGAAAATTCCACAGGTTATTTTGCTTCCATCTCAATGCTGATTTTAGATTTTCTATGTTTCAAGAATTGCATATTCAGTTGAATAGCCTTTCTGCAATTCCAAATTGATGATCGTACAGTATTTGGTGTTTTTCTAGGAAAAGTATAAGCTGATCATGGACTATTTTTTCAAGGATTTTACTAAAGGCAGATATAATAGCTATAGGTCTATAATTTCCGGGGTCAGTAGCAATTCCATTTTTAAATACTGGGGTTATTCTTGATATTTTGAAAATATCTGGTACTATTCCTGTACTATCCCCCAAGTACTAAATACCCCAAGTACCATAAATACTATGGGCAGTGTTTCCCAAACTAGTATGTTCCCAACCTTTTCACAACCAATGACACCTTGTGTTTTATTGTATATTTATTTTCCCACCGACCCCATGTTTTAGAAAGGTATATTTTATAGCTAATAAATCTAACCCGCACAACCAAACTTGCCATATTCAGTTAATAATATTTCATCCAAGAACAACGAAACATAAAATTTTGGAAGTTTATTTTCAGCAGCCTTATCGTGAGCATTTTACGCTGGAGCCTCTTGAAATTTTGAACGGAGTTCACGGACCCGAAGTACCACCTTTGCGGACTCCCAAAGGTCCGGGACCCCATGTTGGGAACCAGCCTGTAGGGTGCAAAACTCATACTTCACCCCTCTCGTCCTTTCCCTTGCCCCCCCCCTTGTCCCTCGCTGAGCCTTCTTTTTTGTCTACCACCTCTTAGCTATCTTTCATGCCGCCTTCCCCCAGTCAACCGCCCTTTTCTCGCCCAGCAAGCTATATATGTTATGCAGTTTTCTTCAGTCCATACTGCACGTCTGAAACGGTACTCGCATGCGCAATATCTCTCGAGACTGGAGAGGATAGATATTTTGCTAAAATTACGCATTTAAAATGGAGAGGTGGCATCCTAGCATAGATTTATTTGGTAATATTCTATCAGTAGACCTCTCTTAGGAAATAGGATCAAGACACTGCATGTAAGGTGACGGCTGCAGCCTGCATATATATACCCGTCTCTACACAATCTGGTTACGTTAGTGTGTTAGCGCATGCGTTACGCATGCGCATTTCTCACCAGATAAATTTTATTTTGTGATGAATATGCATTTAATATGGTTATGGGGTATCTGAGCATAGTTTTATCAAAGACATTTTTATCTTCAGACCTGTGTATATAATTAGGAGAGCGCCCTAGCCTAGCTGTAGGGTGCAAAACTCCTACTTCATCCCTCCCGTCCTTCACCTTTCCTACCTTGTCACTCGCTTAGCCCCCTTATTTTTCTACCGCCCCTCACCTGTTTTCCCGGCGCCTTTCCTCAGTCTCCGACTCCACCTCTCTCTCTCTCTCTCTCTCTCTCTCTCTCTCTCTTTCTTTCTCTCTTTCTCTCTCTCTCAACAAGCTATATTTTCCCTTTTTAGTCCTTACTGCACGCCTAAAACGGTGCTCGCGCATGCGCAATATCTCCCGAGAATATTGATATTTTGCTAATATTATGCATTTAAAATTAAGAGGTGGTATCTTGCATAGATGTATATGGTAATATTCTATCAGTAGACCTCACTTACGACATAGGATGAAGACACTGCATGTATAGGTGCCGGCTGCATATACCAGTTTCTACACAATCTGGCTACGTTAGTGTGTTAGCGAATGCGCAATATCTCACCAGGGGAATTATATCTTGTGATGAATATGTATGTAATATGTTCATGGGGTATCTGAGCATAGGTTTCTTACATGAATTGTGATCTTTAGACCGGTGTTTGTAATTAGGAGAGCGCCCTAGCCTAGTGGTTCCCAACGCTTTCATCACCAAGAACCCCTTGTGTTTAAATTTATTTTCCCACGGACCCCAAGTTTTTTAAATGTCTATTTTATAGCTAAGAAATCTAACCCGCACAACCAATGTTGCCATTCTGAGTTGAAAATATTACAGCCAAGAACAACGAAACATGAAATTTTGAAAATTTATCTTTAGCACTCTTCTCGTGAGCATTTTACGCTGGATCCTCTAGAAATTTTGAACTGAGCTCACGGACCCCAAGGGGGCACTACACTACTACATTACAACCTTTGCGAACTCCCAGGTGTCCGGGGACCCCAAGTTGGGAACCACTGCTCTAGGGCATGGTAGATATGTAGATATATATATTTATATATATGGTTCTAGGACAAATACCCTCGGACAATCACCCCCCGGACAATTTCCCCCCATGCTATTCACCCCCCGGAAAATTACCCCCCGGACATTTACCCCCCGGACAATTACCGCCCGGACAATTACCCCCCGGAAATTTTCCCCCCGGACATTTACTCAATTGTTGTTTATTATTTATTGTTGAGCAGTGTCGAGTGATACAGGGAGGTGGTCGAGGAGGAGGGAAGAAGGTGGTGGAGGAGGAGGAGGGGAAGAAGGTGGGGAGAAGGTGGTGGAGGAGGAGGAGGGGAGAAGGTGGAGGAGGAGGAGGAGAGGAGGAGAGGAGGTGGAGGAGGAGGAGGAGGAGAACGTGGGAGAAGGTGGTGGAGGAGGAGGAATGAGGGGGACAAGGTGGAGGCGGAGGAGGGGTAAATGTCCGGGAGGAAATTGTCTGGGGGTGATTGCCCGGGGTGTAATTGTCCGGGGGTGAATGGCATAGGGGGTAAAATGTCCGGGGGGTAATTGTCCGGGGGGTGATTGTCCGGGGGGTGATTGTCCGGGGG